TTCATTTGCCTTATTTTTGATCCATGGTACCCAAATACTGTACTCGATAAACTTTTGAACACAAATGAATATGGTATTATCAAATTTTAATAAATATTAATTTGTGTACACAATACACCAATACATAAAATTTCTATCTTTTAATGGTATGATACTGGTAATAATGTTCTCAATTATAATTTATAAATGATTCCTACGATCGATAGGCCTCCGTAATGATAGAATTACGAGTAAATTAGAGAATTAGAAGTAATAACGAATTTGGCGGGAATCGACCAATCGGAGAGCGTAGTTGAACACAGTTGCCGATCAGCAGTCTGCCGCACGGCAAAAAGTACTGAAAAATACTAAGTACGCACATAGTCATCACTAGTACTCATAGTAGTCACTATTGTTACACACTTCAGGAATCATAAAATCGCCGAACGCGGTCGATGATGATTTGCGAGGACCAAATCCACCAAATCCACGTTTAAATTTCGTCGAAATGAAGTCGAAACTAACTCGGTTGTACCAGGGTCGCATGAAGTAGCGATACTTTTCCTCAGTTTGTCGTCGGTGGCGGTGTCGTTGCAAGCGGCTGCAGTAGATTCTCGTTCAACGGCTACCACTACATATGTTCCTGTTACTTGTATGCCGATCATTCGCGTTATAAACGATATTATACGATAAAATTATATTTTAACGTTATTAATATGCGTTCACAATGTTTCCTTCACACAGTTTCCTAAATGCTGCTAAAACGTTAGCTTACCAAACTGCTAAGCTGTTGACTTCTCAATAACTTATATTTATGTAATATTATTTGAATGTGGAAAATAGTAATAATAATATTATGAAGTATGCATAATAAATAAATAATATATTAAATGTTTTCTTAATATTGAATTAATCTATTTCACTTCCAGCGTTCCTTTTACTTTTGACACAGTTCTATGTAGTTATTAACCATTGAGTTCAAATTTGTAATCTATCTGTTACAGTGACCTAAGCGACGAAACAAATTGTACCGCAAACATCAGTCCATGTGACAGAGTATAACTAAAGGCTTTTTTTTTTAACATAAAACAATATTTTTTGGGCTGATCTACAGCTTTTATTTTTGACAGATTTTTCGTGAGGTTTTCGTTGCCATGGTTACTTATCAACAAAAAAAATTTATTATTTAGAGGAACTCCTTCGTAGAGCAAAAATATCGCGTAGCATACTATGTTGGTGTTTTTTTAATAAGATTATAATTATTTAAACATATTTTAGTAGTAAATATTTGAAGTTGCATACTACAATTCTCTATTTTGAAATAAAAGTGAATGTTTACTTATAATTTATAAATACAATATTTTTACAGTATATAGATTATAGGCGTACATGATATAAACGTACTCATTTTAATAATAATATTATGTATTTATGTATATAATAAAGGGTGCTGGCTGATTCACCTGGCATGGTCACCCCATTTTTAAATTCTGGGCGGAGGCATGATAAATGTATTGGTTTTATAATGATGAATGTTTTTTTTTTTGTTTGTCTGTCATCACCTTTCGAGGCACTAAAGTGCTTTAATTTTCTACTTTAGCATGTTTTCTGGTAGGAAAGTGAATTTAGTTGATACGTAATGTCAAAAATAAAAAATTCCCATTAGTTTTCAAAAACGTTGGGAAAAACAAAAAAAAAGATAAAGAAAAATGGAGATTTTTCTCAAAACCAGATATTAACAATATGGATTTTGATTTTTGGTGTAACCTTAAAAAAAAACCGTAGATACATGAAAATATGAAATGTTCGCTGAATATTTATAATAACATTTTTTATACGCATACAAAATATTTTGAATTTTTTGATCTATTTATAATCATAATTTACATAAATATTGATACAAAAATGTCTTTGGGTTAAAAAGTGTACATACAATTTAATACAAGGTTCCTCACTAGCTGTTATAATATCAGATGAAAAATATTAAAGAGATACGTCATAAGCACGATTACTTTTTATAAGTATTTAAGTTCAAATTTTATCAAAATATCAAAAATGTACAAATTATTTAAGAATGTATAAAGTGTTCAATTTTTTTATTTGTTAGGGATTGAACATTTATAATGAGGTTTTTCATAAGTAGTTCATAATGTAACAAAAAATATAATGAATATAACATGAACGCACTGACGCAGTTTCTTTTCATAATTTTAATATCAAATTTTTATATATTATTTTAATATATAAAATTATATATTTTAAAAAAGGATAACAATTTTAGTTATTTTGTTGTAGTTTATAAAAATATTATTCGTGGGTACTTACTACTTGAAACTTTTTAAGTGTTTATTTTATACACACAATGCCATCACCAAATGCAATTTTTTTCCAATGATTCAACCCATTGCATACTAATGCAGTAATGCCTGTACTATAATAGTATAATATGTAAGTGTCATTTTTTTAATAATATTTTATTATTATTATTATTTTTATTAATTATAATATTATTGTTGTTCATTTCGTTAAATTAAATTTAAAAAAAAGAAAAGTTGATTGATTCAGTTTTTCTATCGGAAGCAACCTGGATCTCATATACTGCTCGACGCGCTTCATTGTATTCCCTAACAAAATTCAGTATTTCCGTCAGACAACTTAAGTCGAAAAAAGTTGACAGAATTAATAATTATAAATAATAATACTGTATGAATGCTGACTGCATAGTACCTCTATTGAATAATAGTAATTAGTAAATATAATATACTAAAATGAATGTAGGTTTGACAGGTAAGTAGTATGTACTATACTACTAGGTATGTAGTAGTAGTAGTATATCAGTAATTAGTATGTATACGTACAACATGCGATGTTTGACAAAATCGATTTTGTTTTTTTGGTGGTCCTACTCATCAAAAACAAATAGTCGTAGACTCGTAGATAATTGATATTTTTATAAAATGTTTGTGTAAACATTTTCTATACCTACATGATAATATATTGACTCTTTTAAAACTATATTTAGGTATAGACTTTATATTTTTACTGGGTCAAAAAGTTTAAACAAAATGTAATACAATATTCTCTATATTATGTTTTCATTCTAGCTATCTAGCTATTAAACATTTTTAAGAACACACATGCACAACATTATTTTATTATCATTTTAAGTTCAAATGTTCACAATTTTTATCAAAATTGAAATGTGCAAATTGTTTTATAATTAAAAATGTATAAAATGTTCAATTTTTATAGCTATACGAGTTGAAAATTTAACGCAAGATTCCAGATATCCATTTTAAGTGAACATTTGAACAAAATAAGATATTTATAGACCTGTTTTGGTTATTTAAAGTAGGTAGTACCTAGCTAATTTATAATAATATATGGGTGAGTACTTAAAACTTTTAAAATAGTTACTTCATTATTATATTTTATGCGCACTCAATAATATTACTCTGTGGTTTATTTTTAAGCTTTTTCCCGTGAAGGGGGGGGGGGTATAACATTTTTTTTCTCACATTCTATAGGTATTGGTATAAGAAAATTGTTATTTATTTATTGTTATATTTAATGTTTTTGTATACATATCATCTCATATCATCTACTTAGTATTATAATATAATATCAAATTAATGTTTCAATATCTGTAGTTATAGTTTTTTTGGAGGGTTCTGGAGGGGAGGGGCGGTCAGAACCTTTAGACCTACCCCCAAATACGTTACTGATATTAATTATTGTAAAATACATTACTTTTATAGCAATAATATTATAATATTAACTTGGTAAATAGTGATGTAGGCCAACAGACCATATTCGCTCAGAATAATTTTTTTGTATGCAATAATGTATCATTGAATTTAAATTTGACACATTCATAGTATGTACATTAGTACCTACATTACAATGATTTACTTCTGAATTTTGAGGTTCACTCAATATCTGGTGTACAGCTGAGCCAAAGTGATTACCTACTTCCCCCCCAATTTTAAAAATTATTTGCTGCAATTGGTGGGCCAGAAGTGGGTTTGATTGTTTAGAATGTACAATGTACACTTTTATAATAAAGTCAAACGTAATTTTCTAATTAGATTAATAAAATAAAATAATGAATGGAGAAAGTATATTGAAGTATGAATTTTTTGTCACTGGAAAACAAATTCTGTAGTGTTATTTCATTTTGAAAAAAAAGGTATGTGTGTGCAATGAAACAACCAATTTAAGGGGCCCTGAGAGGAAAGCACTAAGTCTTATGCACATAATATATTTTAATAGGCATATAACTCGTAAGTTGTTATCTTAAAGGTAATAATGATGAACATTTAAAGAAGCCTGAAAACCTTATGCGAATAAAGTGTATAGTGACCATCTAGTGTGTTGTTATTTAAATATAACTACTCTATTAGTGTTTTTTTTTATTACAGATATGAATTAAAGACTCAATATTAATTATTATGTTAAAATATGGTTATGAATAAAGTATTACAAAACATAAATATCAGCTATGTACTTAAAATGTAAACATAAAATAATAAAAACATTACTTAAAATGATAAATTAGATTTAAAAACAAAAATAAAGATGTTGATTTGAATAACTAAGAGGTAATGTAGTTGGTAAATACAAAACCTACAAACATAGCTGTGTGAGTGTTATATTCTAAAAATGTTGGTGAATGATATTAGAGGCTATATAATTTACATTATCATAAGGCTAAGGACTTATCGAATGTAATTGAAAGACAATTGCTCACCAACACATTTATGTAAAATAATATTTGATCATCCAATTTCTAGAAAATGTGTTATAATATTGTATATGTGAAAAATACACTAAAAATACACATATAACACAGTATGCACTTCTCATTTATATTAATATAATTTATCTTTAATAAGATATGTTGGAATATGCATATAACGTGATGTTTGATTACCTATAGAAATAATCAAAAAAATTATATACATTAGATGTCTTATTGCTAAAAATTCAGTTTTATTCTAAAAAGATATTTCATTATTAATCAATAAATAATACATGCAACATTCATTATTTTAGTTTTGTATGTTAATTATCTATGCACAATTTAAACGACAAAAAAATAAAAATAATACACCTAATTCTTAACTTACTGATATCTACAGTTAATTTTTTAAATATTCATTGGAATCATAGAAATAATTGAAAAATATTTCATCAATAAAAACATTAAAAATAACTCCCATTTTTTATGATATAAATGAAGGTCATTAACTAAGAATTTAAGAATCAAAAATAATGTACAATCTATAGATATCTCTAATAAATCGTAACATTTACAATAATTCAATGTTATGCATAAATAAATACAAAGCTCATAATATTTATTCAACAGAAGGTAATGTATAATATATTCATATTATAATTATAAAATCACATAAAACAGTTATGTTAAATTAAAATTGATTTGAAAAATGATTTGTTAAGTATTTATTAATATTTAATTTAAGACTAAAATTGTAAATATAATATTTATTAAATTATATTAATCATTTGAAGTAGCAGAAGTTGTTGAAGCAGATACATTATTTACCAATTCCATTGGTGAGTCATTAGTTGAAGCAAGAGAATCAATCTCAGAAGATGCTCTATTTAATAATTTTTTGCCACTTTTATTGTACGGTAGAGTGTAAGGGAAATAGGTATCAGCCGCTTGAGGAGTATTTTCTTCATCACCATATCGAACACGCACCACAAAATCAAATTCTACAGGAACACATTTATCATCATCTTGACAGACACTTGTTTGACATCTTAATATAACAATTTCCTCTTCATCGTCAGATTCATCTTCTGAATCTTCATCTGATTCATTTTCAATATCTGGATTATATTTATCATTCCACCGCCTGTTTCCATCTCTAGATGTTAAATCATCAGTATTTTCATCATTTTTATCTTCTTCCCATTCTTGTTTTGGTATACGAATTAAGTACTTAAAATCAGCTGCTGCTCCTACTGAAGTTGATATGGAGGTATTTGATTTAATTTCTTTTGATTCCCAAGTTGAATCTAAATTATAGATATTTTATCAAACACAGAATGTTATCAAATTTATTAAAATATTCAAATAATTATTATTATACACTTTTCAGTACTGAAAATATATTGATTTATAAATCAAAAACATTAGTAACACAACTAAAATATAGGAGTATGCAGGCATATTTACATATGTTTTTAAACATTTTACACTTAAGTTTGTATCAAGAGAATTTACTTAAAAATTACCCATTGTTATATATTTTTTTTTATTCAAAAGAAATGTATCCATTAAATAAATAAGTACATATATGATGTACATTGTATAAAAAATAAATATATGCCCTGGTACTAACCTTATTAGTGGCAATATTTATTTTATGTTTCATTATTCAGATTATAAATTTTAGTATGTAATTCCCCTACACTTAAATTCAAATGTCTGCATACTTCACTTTATTTTATCTGACTTGACTAAAAATATAAGTTATTGTGAAATAAATAATTTGATTTATTTGATTAAATATACCTGGTAGTTGAAGGGTCCAATTCAAATGTGGTTGATCTTCTAAAGTTTGTGACACTTCAGTTCCAGAACTGCATCCTAGGATAACACGTCCACGTAACATAAGTTGCCCACCAGTCCGTCTATTTAATCTAATTTGGGCTGTTCCAACCACATTTGATGGTGATGATTCTAGAATTTTTGGAAATTCCAATTGAAGCTAATAATGAAAATGGAAAAAAATTAATAACTAATATTACTATCAATATAAAAATTCAAAATATAGTTAAGATAAGTTATGATAGACGATAAGATATTTAGATATGTTTGTTAAACTTAATGTGAATTATTTTACCTTTTTAATAACATAAGTATCAAAATTATACACCCAAACAGAATGATTATTTGTATCAGCAATCAATAACAGACTGGATCCATCTTGAGGGTTTTCAATAAAATGCAATCCATTAGGTTCATTCAACTATAAAAAAATAATTATGTAATTAATATTATCTACTTTATGCTCTTTGTATATTACATTTTATAAAATATTAATTAATGATTTTAATGTTATCTTTAAATAATAATAACAATGTTATTCAAAAATGAAAGATTGCGTTATGGTCAATATAATATTGTTATTTTATCATAAATTCACTTTATATTGGTATATTTGATATTATTTAATTAAAAAAATTTTTAACCAATATTAAATAAATTCAACGCAGAAAGTAAAGATTCAATTTAAAAAGCCTGGCGGGACTGAAAATATTTAGTTATTATAGAAATTATTTTTATTATAAATGACTAAATGAGACACACCTTAACAGGTAATGGTAATGTGTGTACAGATCCACCCGTAGAGCCAGGAATGCCACCAGTTGTTGTGTTGCCACCACCGTTATTATAATGACTTTGTTTATGACTGTCCGACAATCCAGTAACATATTTAATTTTATGATTGTATGAATCGGCTACATACAGAATGTTGCGTTTATAATTCCATGCAACGTCCATAGGATGTTGGAGACGTGAATTGGCACCAGCTCCACCATCAATGTCACCATAGCTGAAAAGATCCTGTAAAATATATGTATATTACTGATAAAATTAGTGTCCTTAGATTTAGAGAAGCTTAAACCATTGATTTTATAATATACAGATAAGCCATACGGCTGTTGATTTAGAAACATGAATAATAGTAAAGCAAAAATCCGATAGATCGCATAGCGTTATTTATAGTCGATAAAATAATATTATTATTCACGACGCGCGGCGGCCGACGGTGTTGGCTTTCTTAGATTAGATTATTATAAAACCGGTTTGGATAGGCTTTTTCCGTTTGATATAATATTGAAATGAAATAATAAATATTAAATATATTATTTAAATCACCAATTACTATAATATTAATTATTAAATTATTACTGTACTATAAAATATACTATGAAATGTTTTAAACCAAACCAATACGACAAGTATAAAAATAATCATATATAGATATTAATATAATAATATTAAATAATTTATTTCATTAATAATACTATACATGAGATAAAATTTTTAACTTAGTTAATTTCGACTGTCTTGTTGTTATTGAATGATCTTTGCATTTCTTAAATATTTTACAAGTCAATAATTTGTCTAAAATGAAGAGTTTGTGGTCTGCGCATTCTTTATTTTCATGGAGCCAATGTTTTATTAAGTTACGACGTTTAAACCATGTCATAAATATTTTTTTAATATTTTTTTTATGTTGAACTTTGCCAAATTTATCTTCAAATATATCAATCGCACAAATAACAAGTTCCACAAGTTTTTTTGATTGAGATTTAAGACCATTTGTTTTAATATTTTCAAAATTTTTATTAATTATAAATAATTGATCTTTATTATTAATATCGGTGTCAGTTATTAACTGTAATTTACAACTATTACAATTAAAATTGTTTAAGCAAATATGTGCTAAATACCCAGCAAAATAAACAACAGTGCAGTCCTCCAGTGTTACTTCTACATTTTCTTTATCTTTATTTAAATTATTATGTGAATCATTAGATGACGACGACGATAAAGATTCTGTGTCACTTAAGTCTATGTTGTTATCTGAACATGTAATGCTAGATTGTTGGTTATTTATGTGTATTGTATAATCTACTTCTGTGTCTAAATTCTGTTCACAATTTGTACCCTTTGAAGTACAAACCAACGAATAAATCGCTGTGCTTCTAAACGATGTTCTTATAACTCTTGACGTAGGATTTCTATTGTAACCCCCCTTCTGTCGAAAAATTGAAAACAAATTTTCAAGTACATCTTGATTCAAGCGATTTGTGAATAAGAAGCTAATGTTATGTTTTTTTTCATCTTCAAAAAACTGTAGCACACCATTTATGGTTTGAGTAAACCCATTAAAACACGGAGGTCGAGTGATTTTTTCTTTTTTAGACAACTTGTACATGTCAACAAAATACGAGGACGCATTTATCAAAAATTGTTTTACACAATTTGTATCGGACAAAGCACAGTTATAAATATTTTTACTATATAAAGATCTGCTATTCAAACAATCAAAAAGCCTGTTCATAAAATCTACAAAGTCTGCTGTATCTGAAGCTGTTTCACTAGTTAATTCGTTTGTAGAGACACAAGTACGAATTGTTGAAGCCATAGTGTGGCTTAGTACTTGAACAGCAAATTTTACCCTCATTTTTTGAAATGAATTTGGATTTATGTGCGTATCGGTTATTTTTAATAATGCTCTGCTTTTTTTGTTATTTTTGTCAATGTAGTATGTTTCCTTAATATCTGAGTAACAAATGTTTTTTTTTCCTCTTTTAAATATGGACCCGAAGTTGCCGTGTATGTAACTGTGGATGTGGAAACAGTTTTATTAAATGAAGTACAGTAAAATGAATATTTTTTATATTCCATAAAATCAATGATAATATTATATTTTACAAATTTGGTACATTATTATTTATCACGTAACGCGACTAGCACTCAATTGATTCAATTATCCAAAACACTGTTGTGTTTGTCGTCAGAGAAAAATATATCATCGATCAAAACAAATACTAAAAATAGAATCGCAGTACGTTATCGCCTATCGTAGTACGCGTATAGCAAAACAGCACCCATCCTATGTTTACCCCTCTTGAATGCAGTCGAACACAGCGACGTCTAACGGCTGAATGCAATTAGCCGCTGCCACAATAAACAATAGAATGGCTTATCTGTATATTATAAAATCAATGCTTAAACTAATGTAGGTACAAAATTGTAATATAATATACATTTTTTTTTGGGGGAGGAGAGGGGGGGGGAGGTCCGGCCTTTTAAGACCACCCCGTAAAACAAATTTCTCTCCACCTTGTTCTGTTTTCAGCTATTTCTCTCCAGTTTGCTCTTGGGTAATATAATATACATACAATTATTTAAATAAGGCTACTCAATATTAACTTCAAACAAATTTTCAATACAATATTTGTAACAACTTACGGTTGGATCAGGACTTCCGCCAGCTACATTCAGTACCCTATATTTTCCCATTGAATCTAAATACATACGCCTGACGGATGAACTTTCACTATCAGCAATGTATAAAGAAGGATCGGCCCCATTTGATGCAGACCCAATACGAGACGATGGCTTAGTTAAACACAATCCAGAAGGTTGAGCAAAAGAAGCGCGTTGGCCATTGTAAGAATTATTTCTATTTTCTTCTTTGCCTGTTCCTGCCACCATAGTGCACAATCCTTTGGAACACCATCTAAAAGTTGAATTTATTTTTATAACATTCAATTTATTTTTAATCAAAAAAAAAAATTATCTATACTAAAACAAATAAACAAATAATGTGTTGTAAAATATATAAAAAAATAATTTGTAAAGCAACAATTTAAGTACATTTTTTTTATTCCTAATATTATTATGTTTTTTTTTGCAAAATCTACATAACATATCGAGTATTCTTTAAAATGGTTCTGTGTTGAAGACTTTTTTGTAAATGGGTAATAAATGGGTACAAATGTATTAAAATTAAAAAATATGTATGTATTTTTAAATAAAATAATCATTATGTATATTTATTACTAGTATTTACTTCATTTTTAGTTTGATAGTGACACAAAAATACACTCCAGACACAGTTCATACACAATAAAAGGATACACTTGTGTATATCAAGCCTGGGCAAGTTAAATTAAGTTAAAATTCAACCAATACATTTTTTTAAACTTTGTTAATTTAAAAATTAATGGATAAAATAAATTAATTGAACTAAAAATTTTCAAATTGGAAAGAAAAATACAACATCAATAATGAATTTGGAAATTGTTTCAAGCTGAGGGTTCTGTGTGTATCAGTAGCGTAATTTGGTCATGTTTGGGAGAGGGGGAAGGAATTGATACATTCATATGAATTATAATGATGTTCAATGTTCTTATTAGAACTATGATTATAATATATGACAATTACATGAACAGTAAATAAAATAGGCACGCAAAATAACAAGATACTTATTTTGTTATTTGCGTGTATCAGGTAGGGTATAGGATAATTATAGTTTATAAATTCATAATACACTTGTAACTAGTATCATATAATTATAAAGTAGTAGATCCAATTAAATATTATATGATGATTCTTACTTTGATTTCATGCTTGAGCAAGTACTAGTACTTGTCTTATCTAAATAAAGAGCCCATATTTGATGCAAACCAGCCATGGCAATCAACAAACAGCGCACTGGAGATGGTGTGGGTACAGATGTAGACTGTTGCTGTTGTTGAAAGTTTTGATTTGGTGTATATGGTTGTGGTGTATATTGTTGTTGATATTGAGGGCGTGCTTTACGTTTGTAATATACTACATCCCAGGGGGTATTTAGAATTTGAGAATTCCACATTTGCCCTCCATATTTATCATGGCCTTTTTTCCCATTGCCAGCTACAGTTTTAACAGTTTTTTCTTTTAAATCAATCTGTAAGTAAAATAGATTTGGTAAACATACTTTTTAATTTTAAATATGTTAGAAAAATCAAAAATCTCCATGGAAGGCTTACCATACGAATAGCATGATTTTCTGTGTCACACACAAATAGAATATGAGAATTTTGGAAGCATATGCCTTGAGGACTGTGAAATAAAGCTTCTGTGAAATTTCCATCTTTAAATCCTTTTTTAGTAGTAGATGGAAAGAGACCAATTCCACCGCCACCAATAACATGCTGTTTAAAAATTAAAAAAAATTATTTCATGTAGTTAATATTTTTATTTTTTACTATTAATAAATCATTATATTATAATGGTATGAATATATTACCTTTACACGTCCTTGAAGTGTACAAACCACTATTCTATGGTGACCACTATCAGCAATCGCTATTAATATTTTACCATGATGTCGGTTATTTAAATTAGAACTGTTTACAGTTTCATTGCCATTATTCTTCCTCTTCTTCAATTTTTTAGTGTATGCAAACACCTTACCGGGATAAAGTAGATGTTGTTTTGAAGTAGATGTCTGTTTACCTGTAGTTAATGACTGTAAAGTTGTACGGCCTGGAACAATTTCTGGTATATTATGTGAGCTTATCATGGATGCTTGACGGAGAATTTGTAAAGCTGTTTCAATAAATGTAGGCAATAGTTGTGAGTGAAATTCTTCACCTTGAACCACAAGCATGGGTTCACCATTAGGTCCTTTAAAAAAAATTAAGATCACAATTATTTATTAACAAAACATTTTTTTTCTAGTAATTATCACGATTTAAGATATACAGGTTGCCCATCGGTATATGCTAAGGTGAGTACCAAATTGAGTTCTTCATGATGCTGGAAATTACAGCAAGCGCTCCCTGTGAGAGAAAAGTTAATAACCATGTCGCTGCCAGCTGCCTGGAGCTTGCTGAATTTTAAATTTTCTATTTTAAATGTTGTAATTCTTTTTACTAATTTAATTTTACAATTTTATCTTATAATTTATATTATAATTTTCCAAACATTTTATTGAGGTCTGCTTTCAAGCTGTACTAGTGTAACAGTAATATAATATTATAATGTAAATTATATAGATTTTATTATTTTATTATAATATTTAAGCTATAATACAAGTTACAACCAATATGTTTATTTATGAACTAAATAATTTATACACAATTTACAAATTTATCAGCTACCTAATTATTACTTACCTAATTAAGATTTAACCAATTTTAATAATTTTTTTTGTTTGACACTGTTTTTTATTTGCCTGATTTTGCATAAAGATGTATTGCCTTATGCACATTGTAATGTACTAAGAAAATATATTGGTTAGCATTTCTTTTTGGTGTTCACAAATGGTGCAATTGAATTTAATATTTAAATTCCTTGCGAAGAACTCGTTACAGGTATTTTCAAAGACATCATTTGAACTTGCATTTAAAACAAAACATTCTTCAAGCTGCTTTATAATTGTATACAAGTTGCTATCTGGGTAAGTAAGATACCCCTTTGTTTTAGCTTGTACTAAATCTGCTTTTTCACCAATATGACCTGATGTGCTCAAACATTTTAAACTTTCAATGCACATTTCACACTCAGTTTTATTAACTAATCTTCTAGCAATATATCTATTAAGATATTTAATTTAAGAAATCAGGTATAGGTAATTATTATATTAAAAATATTATCATTGTATATTTGAACACAGCCAAAAAATAAACAATGCAATCAAACACTATGGAATCTGCATAATTGTGGTCTAAAAGAAAATCATCTAAATCCCAACATTCATCCTGTATTATTTTATCGATCTTTTCTTTTAAGTTTAATTTAGGCTATTTTTAAATTTAAAATATTAGAGAACATTTTTTAATATTCAAACACAGAATAAATGAAATAATGATATATTTTATTGCTATTTTATGTGCTTTAGGGTGGTCCTTATTTTCCGATCTCTGTTTTATTCAGATAAAACCACCCAAAGTCGTTTGGATAGTGATAAAAATGAGTTATGCAAAGTTTGGAAATGATTGAAAATAATTAGCCCGTGCCACAAGAGCACCAAAGATTGATATATAAAATCTTGTAAATTTTTTATACATCTTAAAATACTCATAACTCGCGTTAAAATTAAAATATAATAAAAAACCTATGAGGTTGACTAGATAATAATCTTACCTTTAGATTTTATAAGAGGTCAATTTGCACTAATTTTTAAACTAACGGAGCTACACATGTTCTGCTGAGCGTAAAATTTGGTATGGCAGGCACTTGTAAGACGGAGACAACACATGTAGGTATCACATCCTCTTAACCATCAAATAAAAATAAACATTTCTTTTTTTCGATAAATTAGCTGGTGTAGTGTCTTTATTATCATTAGTTTCTACTGGAGTTAAATGTATAGTCTGTCATCATGTCACGATCATTAGTTAGACTTTTATCAGTATTACTGTTAATGGGGTTCTAAATAAGAAAGTAATTTTATACTTGTACTTGTAAAAAAATTGATATATTAGTTAACATAATTCTAAAGTAAAAATTATACCAGGTTTAGTGTTGGTGAACTACTAAATCTTTTACTGCTCTAAACTATGGGAATTGCTCCATCTCAAAGTTTAGCTTTTTTCAAACATATCTTATTGTAAAAATATTAATCAATTTACATTACACTATTTATTTATTATTTATTGTTTGTTATTTACTATTTATTTATTAACTACCAAAGTTATTTTTGAATTTAATGTTTAGGTTAATATACATACTACATATTTTTTTAAGTCCAGTACCAGATACCCATATCCTAACAATATCATCTTCCTTGAAATGCCTTTGGCACAAGAGAAAATTTTCTTTTAATTTCATACCTAGGGCATTTTCCCACAAATCTAAAGAGCCTTTAGGTATATCAAAAGTACTACTTTTGTATTGTGTGTTACAACAAGGTATGCAGCACTTCATTTTATTATATTTTTCCAATTTTAATTTATATTTTTTTTATAGTTTTAAGATATCCTACTGAAGTCTCAAATCTCAAGACTAGTGGGGAAACAATACCATACGTTATACAAAATAACAAAGTTTTGTATGTGGCTAAGTAATAAGTACCTAAAGTACTTAAAGTATTTATATATATCTTAAATTGTGGAATAGAATCTATGACATAAATTCAAATTATTAAGTGTGATAACTGATAATTAGTTCATGATTTAAATTGTGATAATAGAGAGCGCTAGCGTCTTTTTCCAAGGCTGTGAGTCAATCTCGTCTTCAAACTTTAATCATTTCGGTATAAGTCTATGGGCAACCTGTATATCTTAAATTGTGGTAATTATACATAGTTTATTGTATGTAAATGTTTTTTTTTTTGGTGATAAATAATAAATTATATATTACCAATGAGTACTAAAGTAGGCCAACAACATACAGCTAAATCATTCCACATTGTACCATCTGTATCATTTACAACACAATGTTCAATTGAATATTTTTCAATGGCATGATGTACATTTAAAGATTGTTGTTCATTAGGAAATTTTGCACTATGCACACCAATCTGTAAAAATAATTAACAATTGTTTATGTAACTAGCAAACACGTAAGCAAAGCTGAAAATTCTATGATTTTATGTATTTTTATAATACATCTACATTTTTTTATACCGTTAATTTTTTATTTTGAAAGACTTAAAATTAAACATTTGACTAACTTATATGTAATATTTGGCTGTTTTTAATTGTCTTGTATTAATTGCATTTTCATGTCATATGATGAAAATATTTAAATTTAAGAAAATAACTACATATACTATTAAATCTAAATTCTTTAAAACTCAAATAATTGAACTTCTTTATTTTTGCATAATTAAAAATTAAACTGAATTACAAAAACAACAAAATTGTGAATATAAAGCTTTCAATACAAATTATAAGAGCTAGGTGTATAGATTTCCATATCATCTTAAGGTAAGGTGAGTGTATATTAGAGCCCGAACATAAACAAATGCACTTGTTCGAGTTAAGCTAAACCGTTTTTATAGGTTTGTTCGGTAGCATTTGTTCATGATCCGACTTTAATGTAAGAGTACATTTAGACAAATTCAATATTGCTTTAAAGCTTAAATGTAATATTACTAAGTTGTTGGTGGCAAATAAAAATTTGATATAACATATAAAACTAAAACAGTGGTAAAAATTTTTTTTTTTTTTTTCATGCTTAAATTTTGAGAAGTAGAAATGTATTGATTTTTTCAACTTTTATTATGTATTTATTAATAACATATTATTTGTATTTTATAGATTATTCAAGATATTAGAATACTTAATACATTCATGTGAACAGATATAGATTCCAAATGTAATCTAGTTTATATTGTATATTATATTATTATTGTAATTATTGAATTATTATTTATGTAATATATTATACAAAATCATCTTTAATAAATTAATTATTGTGCTAAATAATTCATTTTTTTTAAAAACATGAAATAAAAATTACAAATTTGTAAATAATATAAAACATATTATTATAAATTGGCTGCCAACTGATTAATTTCTTTTGGGATAGAGTATAGATGTTTTTTAAATGCAATAAAAAACTTAAATTAGATGTTGAATTAATTAATAATCCCAGCTATTCCAAGTTTTTTTGTGAATATCCTTAAAGGTCTTATTAATAAATCTAATCTTTGAAATGGCATTAATTTCTATGCTCTAGTATATTATCTACTCTAGTATCTTTACTTTCTGTAACCCTGTAACCTTTGCATTTCTTAAAACTTTTATAATTTCTAAAATTTGTTTTGTAGGTTATTTGTATTTTTGAATCACTTCAAATAAAAAAATTCAGTTTTGGATAACTTAGTCAAACAAAAATAATATATAAGTACTTTAGCAGCTTTACCATATAATAGGTATAAATTGGAATTTTGGTTTTATTTATTTTTTCATCAGTTTTCTAATTTTAACAACATAAATAAATAAATAAATAAATAAGTAAATAAATAAATAAATAAATGAATGAATAAACTAATAATTGAAAATGTTAAAATGTAAAACTATATTTTCAATTAGGTACATAAATGCCTATTTATTATTATTAATGCTTAAAACCAGTAGCAATAAATTATAGGTTACATATTTCCAGATTTACTAGAGTGAACTAATAAATGCACGTCCAATCTTCTAATTATTCAACTCCATTTAAATGAACATTGCGGTGCATACAAATTAAGTTCTTTATTAGGAAAAAAATTAAATACCTAGTTAAGTCCAGGGTTTTTAACAAAAATATACTAATGTCTTATTGATCCAAATACAATTGGTAAACGAAAAATATACTAATAAAGTATAATAAAAAACTAATATAAGCACAAAGTTTACCTCATGTGTTTTTACCAATATAAGAAATTAACTTATTACCAACATTTATGTAATTATAAACAAGTAAAACTGAGTTATGTATATAAGTATTAAACACATTAATTATTATATTATATTTTAAGCAACTGAATTATACATAATATGTCACATATATTAAACAATTATTTCAAAATTAACATTTGAAAACAAATAATTTAACACTACATGTAGACATTTTTGGCCACAGACAGTCCTACGTCTGGGATGGCGAGTTAAATGGGAAGGAAGATGTTACTTTTTATAAACTTTAACAGGACTCAGATAGCATATTTAAACATGGATTCAATTAGTATATTTTAAATGGGACTCAAAAGGTATTTGAATTTAAATATTTTACCCGCAATTTTATTATACAAACTAAGGAACAAAAAATGTTTGATAGGTACCACCTTTTCAGGTATTTTGTAATTTTCACAGAATTTTCTATAAATAAGGAGTATTGAGTATGATTTAACATTAGTACTTACAATTACTAATCCATCTTCACACGTAAAACGCTGTTGTAAGTTATGTAGAACAGGTAGTATATGCAAACAATTCACACAACAATAAGTGAAAAAATCAAGTAGAACAAGTTTGCCTTTTAAATCTTTATTGAATAATAAAGGTTTTGTACAGTTGAACCAATCAAGATCTGAAAAAATTCAAACAAAATAATGTCTATAAACTGTTGTACTAACCTATTCCTGGAATTAAAAACAATTAAATTTTATTGGTAATTTGGATGCTATTATACTAACTGGGCTTAAACTCATTAACGCGCAATCCCGATGAACCAACAACTGATCCGCTCTGAAATCCTGGGATACCTGCAGCTTGTTGACTACAGCATGCAGTCAAGATTTTCTGTATATAATCTTCGGTTATCTCCTGAAGTTGTACAGGAATCGGCAAGTCAGCTTCATCAGTGGAGGCTTGGTTGCCGGCCGAACTGTTAAATAGATCAACAAACACTGACGATATCTCAATAATCCTATCCATGTTTCGACTGGTGTGGCGATTATTGACCCTGAGCGTGAAAACTAATCCGAACAAACATCAAAAAAAACAAATTGCCCAATATTAAAACCTCAAACATAATCGCATGAATGTAAATTGAATTTACAAAATACGTACTTAGTACCCACCAACGTGATTGTCAATAATAATAAAAAATCATAAACAGCAAAAACGGTAAAATTCTCAAATATCTGTTACGAATATGAAACTCGGCAACTAATGCGGTATAGAATAACGAACCCGTGTTCCGTTGTAACTTGCGGGTGGTAAACCATAAACACGAAAACTTTGTTGTGTACACATGCTACTGATAGCGAGACCGCGACCGGGATCACTGCTTTTTGTTCCACAATATATTTGTTCCAAAGTATATTTGTTCCAACTAAGCAAGTTACCTACCAAAAATGTACCTTTTTTCTCCAAGAAATATAAAAGTTTAAACGCAACTGACTTTTTATTATTATTATATTCGAGGCGTACTTACAGATTTTTTTTTCTTCTGATGCGTTAATTGTTTGGTACATGTAACAGACCAAATTGCAATTGAGTGTTCCAAGAATTGTCTACAGCTCAACATAAAAACCAATATGGTTACCAGTTGTAACGTAGTTGTGAATCCAAGACCTCCCTTGGGTTGATCTAACCCATAGACGCATAAACGACAATTGTGTATGTATGTCTATGATTTAACCTATACAACTATATGGAACTGACTTTTATTCTATAAAAAAAAATTTCTTTCAATCAACAACTAAAAGTTAAGATATTATAGACGAGTCGTGACTACATGATAAACTGGTGTACGGGTTATTTCCCTCAAAATATTTTCAGTGGCGGAGCTACTTGCGGAGATTTTTTTTTCTTTTTTACCACACTAGAACGCCCCGTTACCTGCCACAATGGTGGCACTATTAAAGTATTAAAGTATACATGTTCTATGGGAGCATGATATTATATTATTATGAAAATATCACTAGCGCGGGGTGTAAGACTGAGCTAAAAAGTGAAATATTCCAGAAAGACAACCATAGTAAATACTTTTTACGGAAGCGTATTGCCCTTTTTTCAACAGATGGTTATTCCATATAACAAAATTAGTTGTACATATAATAATATTATATTGGTTAGGTTAGGTTAGGTTATTTGGAGGTGTTTTAGACTTTAATCCTGGCTCTATATTTATAAGCTTTATCATATAAATTGATATAATACAGATACTTGGATGTTTAAAAAAAAAAAATTGAATGAAATGCCATGAATAAGTTTCCAGGTACCTATATTATATATAGACTACAACCAAGCCCGAGTTTATAGAATAATGGGCCCTAAGGCAAATAGTAAAAATGGTCCCCACCAAACATATAACTCATCATAAATGTACCTCCTAAAATATTTGCTATCGTATATGTTATAGATGTAAACAATTATGTACACTTAATATAACACTCAAAATGTACCTACAGTATGTTAACACATTACAAAAAACAAAAAATACTACACTTAACTAAAATATGATCATTAAATACTCAATAAAAATAATTTACACATTACTTGTCTTATTCAAAACATTTTTTTCTACATTTGTCTTTAACTAAAGTTAATAGATGGTAATAGGTGTTCATAAATCAATCGATGGTAACTAATCATGGTTTGAAAATAATATTATAAATGATTTTAAGGATTTTTGAGTTTTACGTCATGCTAACTTTGAAAATGCTCGGTTGGAGGAACAATTTGCCACAGGAATAATTGTTAAATACCTATAACCAAACTGCAATTAAAATATTAGTAAAAATATCTTTCATTTTTATTTGTTCAAACAATTACAGTATTTCATGCACATTTGAAGCACCAAATGGTGGTTTACTGAAATCCCAATATTAATTTAACTAACTTATTTATTTAAATATTTAATGTTTTTTAATTTACTATATTTTTTTATGGCAATGGAATTTTTTTGGCCTCATAACAGTGTGTACCTTAAGGATGCGTCCCTTCGGCCTTTCCTCCCTTACAAAAGTAACATTGTAGTATTGTCGTCATTGCATATCCTTTCAATTTACCTATTTCCTTTGATAAATTATTTTATTCAAAATTTGATGTTTGGAATCTTAAATATACCTACTTAAGAAACTTTAGAATCATATTTCTGAACTTAATTTTTCTAATATAAACCACTCTTTTGTACTGTAAATTGTTGAGAAAATGATTTTTTTGCATACGTTGATGTATGTCTTAGTGAGGTCCAGTTATTTGTTACCAGATATTAATAATAAAGAAAAATGAAATATTAGGTAAGCTCTGTGCAGTACAGTAGGCGTTGAGTATAACTCTTTATTAAAGATAAATACTTTAGAAATACTTTAGAGCGTTAGAAACTTTCGGTCAGCGTAATGAAAATTACCATTGTTTTGTCATTACCTTCAACCTATCTTCTAATAATTAAATTATTATGATAACTACTTATTATTTTTATTTATATTATAGTAATTATGAGTGTATTAGTGAATTTGTCGGTTTTCATCCACGATTAACTGTTAAATCTAGTTAAATCTCATCCAGTTACCAAATGTTAAATCAGTATAAATTATAAGCAATAAATTTTCAATTAGAACATTAAAAAAAATTTAGGTTAAAAGTAGCGCTCTACATTGAAAAAATAGCTCACTGTATTAAAAAAAAGTAGCGATAGCGATAGTATCTACTACGAATGTATTACTATTATTAACTATTAAGGACTATTAATAATAATAGACAATATAGTATGATAATAATCCTTGTCCCTTGGTCCATGTCACCTAGTATTTAAGCGTAATAACTTAAAAACTATACTTATACAATTTAGATGATTCAACATTTTCAAACAAATATTTAACTAACAATTTGGAGTAATACATGGTGATTTTTTCGAAAAATTAAGTTTTTACAATTTCAAGCTTGTAGCCAGCTGTACCTATCCTGTAGGCTGTAGGTATATCGTATATGTATAAAGAGTTACTATTTATAATACATGGTATATATATACAGTGTTCGGAACGTTCATTAAAAAAATGAATTCGTTCACTTTCAGGTTCATTCCTTAAACAAGGAACTCATTCGAGTTCATGTTCGTGTATTTTTCAAATGAACGCGTACATGTACGTGAACATGTACGCGTTCATTTGAAAAATGAATGCTTCTACTAGGTCGTTAATTTAATTTTTTTAATTTTATATAATAGGAATAATTATAATAAGAAAATATTATTGTAAAATATAATTAATCAATGTATTTTAAACGAATATTTATTAAATGGCAAATAAATTGAGAGTCTTAAAAATAGTTTAATATTTCATTAAAATATAAATGTCGTTCATATTCATGTTCAATTAAAAAAAAAATAGTGACGTTTGCGTATCTTTTAATATTATAATTATATACTATAACATCATGGACGTGCGTTCGTACTTTCATGAATGACGTTCTCACTAAACACTGTATATATAATATATTATATACATATATAAAGGTACAAAATGAAAAATTGTGTAGTACGTCTGTGTTCATTTAGAATAATAATTCAATTTTACAAAAAATGTTCTAAAATAAGAAAATAAATAATAAAAAATATAATAAATGTAATATTAAATTGATTAGGTACCTATATCATGTTATTGTTATAGAATATAGATATTTATAGCGTTATGCGGTTATTTCATACTAGTATAGTACCTAGTATACTAATAACTAATAAGTAACACCCATCAATGGATCTATTAGTAGCATATAGCAAGTAGACACAACTTACATACTTGAGCTGAGGGACTAACATTTTTTTTAGAAGTAGTTATAATGATAATACGTATATACAAATATATTATGTTTTGATTTAGACAAAATAACTTGACAAGAATAAATAGGTTAGATATTTGATAGATCAAACGTGTAACTATAGATTTATTTTTCCCAAGATCCCTTGATTCCTTTGATCCATGTTATGTTCTATAAGCACTGTGTGTGAACAATCAATACACACCTACTACAAAAATAATAAACCATTGTGATTAAACATTCTAAAATATTATGTATAATTTGACACCGATCATTTTTAAGGAGTTGAGTATATAATATAGGCAATTGTAACCTATTTTTATTTTCCGATCATGCGCTGTGTGTAAATTCCCACCCGGAAGCCCGATAAAAATTACTTATAATCAATTATTATAATTATAGTATTGATATTAAGGTAAAAGTAGTTAGAATTCACCCTGTGAGCGCCTTTGTATGTTCTATACGTGTTACGTCCATAATACTATGACTATGCAGTGTTTTCACTGTGTAATAATTATAATTTGAACAAGTTAGTTTAGGCTAGAAACATTTCGCAGATCGTCAGAATATATGTTGAAGATGTTCCTTATAAAATCAGTTTCCATCCTCATCTGACCTATATAAAAAAAAAAAAAAGTTGTTTTTGAATTTATTTAAATTCGCAGGTCTAGCAATTCTTAGAGACGTCTGACTCTTAAACACACCGATCATCTTTAGTGTGAGCGATTAGTGGTATGATTAGAAGAAAGAGTATATACTTCCGTATAGCATATTATAATTTATAACTCAAGAGTTAAAAACGCATCATTGTGCTCTAATCAAAAATGATTTATTTTGTTTTTTTTTTACTTAATACTAAAAAGTATCAATATTTTTAATAAAGTTTAGTTAAAATTGGAGTAGGAACTTTCATTTTTAATTCAATTTTTGAGTTCAACATTATAAACATTTATAAACTACTCATTTAGAAGCAAAGCCATTTACAAGTTAACTTCATAAATAACATTTTTGAATCTAAAGTTTGAATTTAAAATTGTGTTTTAAGATTTGTACATGCTTTTATACGATTTTTGTATACATTTAACAAACCTATCTACACCTATGAAAAAAAACAATAATGTAAGGAAATAATTGTTTTTCTAGATTACAGAAGTTCAAAACGACCAATACTGTATGTAAAACTTTTTTACAATCCTTTAAAATGTTTATTATCCATCATTTATATCAAATTTATATTAGAATTTATATCAAAACTATTTTTTAAGCTTTTTTTTAGGAAATTAAAATCACAGGTATAATATTGAATTTAATAATTGACCCAGAAAAGTCAAGGAGAAGGGGGAAAACTGCGCTTACTTGCTCTCTTCCCCTGCGAACGCCCTTGAATTTCATTTGTTTAAAATCTAAATGTGAGATCATTAGAAGAAATAATACCTAAATCTTCAACTTTTTGTCTACATAATACCAAGTTTTATTTTATTGAACTAAACA